GAATCTGTTCATTTAAATCCTCTTCCTATTTGTGTTTGAGATAATCTAAAGTTGACAAGTGAAATAGATTAAGAAGGCCATATAGCTTACCTATAACCTGCTTTAAGTTTTTCCCGAGCTTGAAAATGGAGTCTAACAAAGATACTGAGGGACATAAGGGAAAGCAAGTGGAATGTGAGGCTATACAATTTCGCAATTGTAAAGAAGTAGGATCTAGGGATATTAATTCTATCTACTAATTGTTCAAAAGATGCAAAGTTATTGTCTACATAAAGATCCTGTAATGAATGTATCCCACTCCTGAACCACACACTAAAGGCCATATCCGACATTGAGGGAGGAAATGTGATTTTTCGTTATCGGAGCAAAAAGGCAGAGGCTGTTGAGAGCAAATGATCTCCTGAACTGATTCCAGATTTTTACCGAATATGCCACAACAGGGTTAAAGGTGTAATAAGAGATGGGCTTTACTAGTGGGAGTTCAGTGCACAATAAAGCTGATAAGGAATAGGGTCCACAGGGTCTCGTTTACCTCTTCATCTTCAAAATGTGGTTGTCTTTTCAACATGGAAAGTTGACCAAGGTTCTGACTGAGAAGTGCTCAACTGTTATTGGAGTATCCATTCTAAATGTGGCCTTATTTGGTTGAATTTGTGGGACATGCATATCAGTGGTGAGTCTGTAAAGCATATAATTTGGCGAGGAGTTGCAGCATAAGTCCTTGAGAGGCCTTCTCAGGAAGAAAGCCAGAAATGGGGTACAGATAATAAAGACCCTCTCCCCTTTTCCCAGGACCCAGTGCTGTTTTCAGGCCCTCTGAGGATGAACCTGGATCCTTTTGACAGCTACTCGGATGAGGAAATATGGAGGGCTTTGGAGTATTCCCATCTCAAGAGCTTTGTCTCTAGCCTGCCTAACAAACTCAGCCATGAGTGTAGTGAAGGAGGAGAGAACCTCAGGTATAACTGCTTTATCCACAACTATAACTATGAAAACTACCAAAAATGTAATTTACCTTGACTGCAGAGAGAACAGGTTTGAAACAGGTTTATTTAAGAGACATACTGTAAGTATATGCACTGATTCTGTTTTGATTTGCTCTTGATGCAAACATAACTCTTCCTCTGTTTACCTGTTAATTTCAAAGCAATAAATCTATACGACAGTGATGTCATACTCACCACTCTCACTCTTGTTTTAATACTTACACTGTTCTGACTCACTCGATGCCATTTATTATTTATTTTGCCATTTTTTTCATTCAGTGTTAAGCTGCTATCAGTGACAGTCAACACTGTCTGCACAGATATTTCATAGTAAAAGCCTCTTGCAGCTTCAATGACAATCTCCATGTGTCCTGCTATATTGTAACTTGAAACATCTGCGGGAAGTGTTGAATTTAATTGACTGAAGCTTAACACTGGACAAAAGAACACAGTAAAAGAGCCCAGACACACGCTCTGTTGCTCTGTTTCAAGCATTTCTCTGTTTTCCCTCCAGTGTGGGTCAGCGGCAGTTGCTGTGCCTGGCCAGAGCTTTGCTGAGGAAAACACAAATCCTGGTTCTAGATGAGGCAACAGCAGCTGTGGACATGGAGACAGACAACCTAATCCAGTCCACTATCCGCTCTCAGTTTGAGCACTGCACTGTCCTGACAATAGCTCATCGCCTTAACACTATAATGGACTACACAAGGTACCGTACACTTTAACAGTCATTATAGAATGCTCTCATACTGTATGTATAAGAAGCATCTGTAGTCCTGGTACTTCTTTGTGCTCTTTGTAAAGAGAAATGTTTATCAGTATTGTCTCTCCTCTAGGGTCCTGGTGTTGGACAAGGGAGAGACGGCAGAGTTTGACTCCCCCTCCAGTCTAATCGCTCAAAGAGGTGCCTTTTACAAGATGGCCAGGGATGCTGGGCTGGTCTGAAAGCAGGAGGTGCCTCACTTTGTCCAGCTGCTCCTCTGAGCCCCCTCCCAGCTTCTCTGGCTCCCTCCCGTGGAGGTCCTGAGTTGAAGAGTCAGAGGGAGATCAAGTGGGGGAATCGAGATTTCGAGTGTTTGACTATTTAAGCAAGAGTGTTGATGAGAAGAGCGGGTTTGGTTTGAGCTGCCCCACCTTACACTTCCGTCCTCATTTAACCAGACAATTTTATGCTGACTGTCCCAAATAACCTTGCTTATGCCTGTAAAGCTAGATCAGTCTATGAAGCCCCTGTTTCTTCCTGCCCTTTTCACATTTTTACTGCCATTTCTGCCATGGAAGAGGGGGTGACAAGTTCTAACCTGAGACAGCACGTCTTGGTATGTGTCTTTTATTTTGACAAAGCATTGTACTTGTTCTCGAGCAAAGAAGGGGAGTTTTGCTGCTATAAAGACAGAATTCCCTGTGTATCATAAATAGAAATGGTTCACTCCTGGTTGTTGTAACCAAAGCTGAAGTTGGTAGAGGACTCCATACTAACTGTATACAGTATGTTCTAGGGCTGCCCTGATTTTCCTCGTCCACTGGTAGTCAAATGTTAACAGAAAAAGCAGTAATGATTCTGAATGTGTCAGAACAACCAGCAAGGAGACATTGAACGTTTAGTTTGTTTATTTCAACACAGTATAACATCAACAAGTCTCGTTCAGAACACGGAATAAATAAAATCCAACTTCACTAAAACAAATACAGCAGGACTTATCGATATGATGAATATATCACTCAATCATCAGAAAATTTACTCGCTACAAACTTGCTCCTCTTCCTCCGTTTAATTCATCTCCTGTCACTGCCTGAACCCACCGTGTCTTCATTCCCAGTATAGTCCTAGTCTGAGCTGCTGTAAATCAGCTGGCCTCCATTGAGGCTGTGAGCCACTGGGTCCCCCGCTCCTACACTAGTAGTGTTTAAACTCCCCTTGTCCTTCCAGCTCTCAGTTCGGGTACAGGTCCAGGTGATTCTTCTGAGAGGGCAGTGGTTCTCATCAGAAAGATGTGAAGGTGTTGGCAGCTGATTGGTCAACAGTATCAGTTAGGCTGGTGGTGTCACAGACCCAAGAAGGGGTGGTTTGAAACATTAAACATCAGCACATATAAATCAACTACAACGCACAAACTGACGGAATCCGTTGGATAGATTCCACTCAACTGTTACTTTACGTCCAGCACTGATTGTTTATTTATTGTTTGTTTGTGCTCTTTCAGCTTTAAATTAATGTCTTCATTTAAGCTGCTGTTCTGGTCGTTCAGTGATTTTCAGTCTCTTTCAGGGGAAACTCATGTTCTCTCTCTCTACTCTGTCTGCACTCTTGCTGTGTAGATGGACGGCTGCAGAAGAACAAAATAGAGTTTTATTTTAGTTCAACTCCAATGAGGTCATAAGGTACTGAATGTGCACCAAATGGACTTTTTTTAAACTTTCTGGAACATAAATGTACACATTACACATATTTTCTTATTGTTTACAGCCAAGTCATGCTTCACACAAACAAATGGACGCAGGCCAAAAGATTTTTTTCCCATACTGACATATTTCTTTGCATTGCTGTCATTTTGTTAGTGAGTTACTGTGTTACTTTTAGTGAATAAAGATATATTGATTTTGAATGTGAGTGTTTTAACAAACTACTGTGTATGTAGAGAGTTTTTGAACTGACATGCAGAAAGAAATGCCAGTTTCTAGTGTGCACTGGGAATAGTTCAGTGAGCATTAGAACTCTGCTTCTAGTCCTCAGAAATGAACGCCAAATATATTATAACTTGGTTATAACAGTGATTATCTAGTGTTCCGCCAAACATTCTTCACATGCTCAACTTTGAGTAGTTCTGCTTACAAGTGGCAAATGATATTCTGTCTGTTATTGTTCTGCACAGAAGAGACAAGATGTAGGTGCATCCAGCTATGTTTTTATCATGGACCTCAGTATAAAGACATTGCTGCTTTACTTTGCTGTCAACACAACATTATCTCAAGTGGACATTTGTTGCATTCTGCTGCCACCCTGAACACTCTGGAATGAGATTAAAGTTTAAGGAGCACACCCAAAATGTCATTTTTCTAGTGCACATTGTTTCTAATGTGCACTAGAAATTAACATATTCTGATCTGTTATGGCCACAGTGTAGACCTGCTCATGCTCTGCAGGTATTACATTACCTTTATAGAAAGTAAAACAAATATTACCTTTATTCAAAATGAACAAAAATTCTGACATACATTTTCCAAGCCATACCTACTGGCAACACCTGCCATACAAGGTGTTAATAGTGTGAAAGGAATGCAGGAATATTAAGGCATCATCAGTGTCACATTCGGTGGATGTTACCAGCTAAATCTCCACACTTCACATACTGATCTGATTCTGCACGTGTTTTTCTTTCTTTCCATTTGTGGATCTGGAGTAGATGTTTTACAGAAGCGAATGGTCAAATGGGATAAAAAAAAAAAACTTCTAAGAGTTAAGAATTCTGAGAAAAGACATCATTTTTAGTTTGAAGTAAGTTAAAGAACCATTCTGGAGGTATTTGGGGGAGAATTTGTTTTCTTAAAATTTAGCTGAACTCAAAAGTTTGTTTTTCCACATGCTCCTGATCCTCTTTTTTTGGGCCCCTGATCTTTTTGCTCCAGGGACAGAACAGTACATCTCCTAGATTCCCTGTGTCACTGCTGGTCAGACTGGTTGGTCAGTGTGCGGATACTGCACCTCTCTTACCAAGTCATCATTGTGGCTTTACATTGTTAACATCTGTCAGTAGTTCTGGGAGATTTGGGGCCAAATAAAGGTTCTCCTCTCTGTTGAAAAGCTGATAGTAGCTTTGCCAGTGTTATTAGTCATTATGTTCTCTAAAAGCTGTAAAAGTTTGGCTTGTGGTGATCTTGTTCAAATTATTGAGACACACTTTGGTTGTGTTTCAGCACACGATTTAAAGCATCTTTAGATTGAATAAAGAATACCTGTGTGACATATTTATGATTACAAAGTCAATATTTGCTATTTTATAATGCATTACTTGGTTTCTGTAATTAGTTTCGGAATAAAATCGATGTATGTATAAAAGCAATCGTATGAGTTGTTCATTTTTTTGTTACATTATATAAAATTGCCTTTACAAAAATTGATAATGCTGACCCACCAGGTAAATGCAGTAAACTTATTTCTGTAATCACTTCAATAATTCATAATTAATAATATATATATATATACACTAATATATATATATATATATACACACTATAGACCTTATTACATATATATTAAGTGCAAGTGGCTTTTTAATTAATGTTTGAGATCTATAGGAAATCCAGAAGAAACATCAATGATTTTGTTTATAATATTAAACAGCATATTGCTGCTATTCAGTTCTTTCTTTGTTCTTTCATATCACTTTGCTTAGAAATCAAAAGGAGACGCAAAGCAGTGACGTATGACTAGGCACAAAACTATGTTTCCCATCATCCTTTGTTGCCCGGTTAGGGGGGAAGGAAGATGGCGGCGATTGATGGAATGGGACTGCTGTTGCGGTATTAAAATGGCAAAAAGCAGTTGATGATGTCTTTTAACGGTTGAGTTGATGTCATACAAAGAGACACCGGTAAATGTAAAACGGAGGCTCTGATCCGAGACTGCTGATCCCCGCGCTGCAGGTGAGTCAGTAGCGTACAGCTCCTCTGGTTCCCTTTAGCTAGCTAGCTACTGGAAGCTAAATTAGCTTGCTAGCCAACTCAATACCTGCTGCCGACACAGAGGCCGGGAGTACGTACATCAAGTGCGTTTTATGAACCGTGACAAAACCGGAGTACACAAAATGTGGTTAGTTAACGTAGACAACGTTAAGTTAGCTACAAAGATATTCAGCTACACAGCCAGCGGCGGTACCTTCATGTCAGCATTAACATGAATGCTAACACTGGCTAAGAGTGAGCACTGACGATAATTACAGCAAAATATCTCCAACCATAACGAAACGTTCACTTTTTTCCATCAGCAGGAGTCAGAAAACATTGAGTCATAGATGGTTCATAGAAGAGAAAATACGAGTTATTAGAGAAACATCATAGTAGTGTGTTGTTTATTTCCCCTTTCTTGTGAAGCCTCCATTAGCACATTACATTACCAAGCATGTGTGGACATAACCCGACCAATACTGGATTTAAATCATATCATATCGGTGTTTGAGAGTTTAACATTTCAGATAGAAAAACATTTTTAAGTTTTTCGACATAAATACACAGCATAAAAACGTTTTTTTTTCTAGGAGCTCTCACGTGTGTTTTGCTTAACAGTTCTGACCAAGATATATACTGAGTAAGACATTTGAAACACTTGAATAATGTAATGTAATGGAGACAGTGTTTTCAACTCTTTACTGACTCTACTTTCTTTGAACTCATTGGCTGATGTGTGTGAAGGCTTCCAGATTTGTTTGTGATGAGCTGATATCAGCAGATAACATAGGTCATGTTGTAGTGTTGGATGGGGTGAACAGAAATTTGTATCACTGTATTTTTAAGATTCTGGCGGTTTCACTGTATTATTATTATTATTATTATTATTTTTTTGGCATGACTGGACCTTCATATAGGTTTATATGGGCTTATTATACTGTCAAGATTACATTGAGTATATAACCATTTCAATGTCACCATGAAGGCTCTGGTTAACTATTAAGTTGCTGCACAATTAATATTATCAAAATTGCAATTTCCAAAACGCTGAAGCAGCAGTTTGTTTGATAAAGGATAAATGTGTGACAGACAGCATTAGAATAGTATATATTGTAGTGCTGCAGATATTCCCTGGCCTATGAATCTTTAACATTGAGTTGTTTACCAAACAAAATATTTTAGAATACATTTATAAACACTATAAACTGACATAAAACACTCAAACTTTGATTTTTCAAAGAGATATTCCAGATGTTCCATTGCACAAGAAACAAATGAGGTACAGCAGTTGTTTCAGCTGTGCACTGGTACGATAGTATATGAAAAATATCATACACAAAATGAAAACCGATATAACACCCAGCACTAATGAGCTCTAATATAGACAAAGAGGATCTTATGGAAGCGTATTGCATTCTTGTGCAATTATGAGATAATAACTTGGCTCTCTCACTTAGTTTGGCTGTAATAGACAAAAGTATGAACAGTGACTTTACTGAGCATGTAAATGCAATGCACTTTCCTAAGATCTCACTCATTAACTAAAGAAAAAGAATTCTTTAGTCAGACTTAGTCAGGCTAATAGAAATCTTAGTGACTGAAATAAACTGTAATTGATCCAAATGAACTAGCTTATATCCCTGCAGAATCAGTTTCACACTCTTACATTGTCCACAGATGATGCCACAGGCTGCTTTGCCTTTGTTGTCTTTAAACATTGTGAGATAAAGACTGCATGTGTCCTGTCCTTTCCACTAGGCTTATTCCTGGATCCCTTTTTTCTGGCGTAGCCTTGCCCATCGCTGCCAACCTCCAGGTCCTGCTTCTGCATCACCAGTTTTCCTGGCCCATGGACTTGACTCCAGCATCTGGCTTCAAAAGGAGGGCTGTTGCCTCCTCTTCATCAAGTGGAGTTAGAGAGATTGCCAGGAGCCCTCCTCCCTGCTCACCCTCCTTGTCTCCATCATCCAGTTCATCTGATCCATCTTCACCCTTGTCAACGTCCTCCTCTGCCTGTGCCAACTCATCAGTTTATCAGAACCATGTAAAAGATCAGACCCAGGGGACAGAGGTGGCCAGGGTGTCCTCCACTTCTGCCTCTCTTGCAGCGCAGTCTCTATCCACACCTACACCCAACACCCCCTCGTTGGATTCCTTTCCTCACACGTCAGTGCAGCCGAGTGTTGATTGTGAAGAAGAGGACAGGGAAAGGGAGATGTATGATCCGTTCCATCCAACTGAGGGAGTGAAGGAGGAGGATGAGGGGGAAGGGGAGAAATACGACCCCTTTGACCCCACTGGTTCTCCAGCATCAGACGCAGATGACAGGAGAGGCAAAGCGAGGGGGATGAAGAGAAACACTGTTGAGAAAGAGGAAGAACCTCCAGATTCCACTGACACGTTAACTGACCTGCGAAGTCCAGGTCTGGCCACCCAGCTCCCTCTGAGGAGGAGAGTGGACTGCAGCACCACCAAAACTGGAGAACAGAGGGACATTGCAGACTCTGATCACTCTGAGATAGAGGAGGGGGAGATAGTTGGTGCTGCTGACAGAGATGGGAGCAATAAAAGACCAGCTGGAGAAATCCTCCCCCTCAATTCCCCCAGCGTCTCCTTCTTTGGTTCAAAGCCAGAGCGCATCCTCCGGGTGCTGGACGGAGATGGCTTTGTGTCCGTACGTACAGAGGGCAGTTGGGAGGTGGACAGGGAGCCTGAGGATGAGCCTGTGGTGGGAGTGGAGGATCTGAGACGGAAGCTGGTCAGCAGACGGAAAGAAAGATATCTCTCTTTTCCTGCTACTTCCCCGCTCTCTCCTCAGCCACCACCTCCTCCCTCCCATCCTCCAGCCTCTGCACCCTCTTCCCCTCTCACGCCTTCTGTAGAGCAAAGTAGCAAGAACCGCAAGTCATCCAAGAGTTCCAAGGACCGCGACAGACAGAAAAGCAAGGACAGGAAGGCTGGGGAGAAGGAAGAGAGAAGAAAAAAGAGAAGAAAGGACAAAGAGGGAGGTGGGGAGAGAAGCAAAGAAAAGGAGCAGGGGCACAAGGAGGTTAAGGGAATGAGGAGCAGCAGGAGCAGCAGCCGGAAGAGGAAGAAAAGACGTCACAGCAGCCCAGAGGCCTCACGATCCTGCAACTCTTCAGGAAGAGGGGGCCACACTAGACACTCATTTTCAAGCCTGTCTGAAGAAAGAAACAGAGAGAAGGAAAAAGATAAAGAGAGAGACAGGGACAGGAACACAATTAGAGATAGAGACAGGGATAGAGATAGAGACAGAGAGAGGGATAGAGACAGAGGAAGAGAGAGGGACAGGGATAGAGAAAGAGAGCAAAATCGCACCAGTAGTTGTAGAAGAGATGAAAGAGATCGAGATTCTAGCTCTCGAAAGAAGGAGATGGAGAGGAAGGGAAGACAACACTCGAGCAGCAGAGAGCGGGGCATTTCAAAGACGTCGAAAAGAAGCAGGGAAAAGAGGGAAGGGGACAGAGACAGAGACAGACAGCAAGAGAGGGAGCGACGAAGGGATGGTCGCCCTGTAGTCCCGCCATCTATCCAAGACCTCAATGGGTCTGACCTCTTTGCCATCAAGCGAACCATCACAGTCACCACGACTACAACCACCACCACCGTGCCCGGCTCTCCAAGACTGGCCCCGACCTCTCCCTGTCGGCCCGCACAGGAATCTGATAAGCCCTGCAAGAGGAAGAAGAAGAGAAAATGGCACTCAGCTGGAGAGCTGGAAGACCGGGGAAGTTGTCACAGCCGATCCCAGTCGCTCTCACCGCTAAGGTATCACAGTTATGAGTCTGACCACTATTCAGACAAACTGGAGATCGACGTGTTGTCTTTGGATGGTGAAGCTTTGGACTCAGACTACCCATCTTTGGAGGATACACCCCCTGCTGCCCTGCCTCCAGAACCACCTGCCCCCAGCCCCAAAACTAAAACGGGCCTCAAGACCGGACGACACCACCCAAAAAAGAAATCTCGCGCCTTGAAGAAAATTGGCCAGTCTGAATCCTCGTCCTCCTCTTCCAATAGAACCAAAAGCAAATGCCTCTCCTTACTGACTGTCACTTCAGGCTCTGCCCCCGTCTCATCTGGCCTCCCCTCAGCAAAGCGAGCCAGGAAGATAGGAAAGGACAAAGACCGGGACAAAGGCAGCAGAAAGGATTTGGGTCGCTCCGGCAAATCCAAGAAAGAGAGTGCCGGTAGTCGGAAAGGCAAGCTTCAGTCCAAAGTGTCTGTGCTAGTGCGGGAAGGTGTAAGCAGCACCACAGGGGCTTCAGTTGGCTCTGGAAAGCTTGGCATGGACCTCCTAGGGCCAGGAGGTACAGGGGGCGGTGCTGGGGGCTCTGTGGTGGGTGGCTCAATTGCTGTAGTCTTCTGCAGAGACAATGAGAGCAGATCTCCATTCCTCAAACCTTGCTCAGAGCCGCTGACGCTGGCCAGCCGCAGTAAAGATTTGGCCAGTATAGGAAAGCGAAGCAGCCTGGCAGCACCACCACCATCATCCTTAACCAGTCCTGCAGGACTGAAATCCAAGAAAACAAAACCAAGCTCCATTACCTCCACCTCCACCTCCTCCTCTGCCTCCTCCCCCTCATCATCTTTGGCAACCAAACGCCGCCGTCGCCTGGCCAAGAAGACAAGAGAGAAAGGTGGAGCTGCAGGGTTTACGACTAGAGACGGCAGCCAAACAAACACATCTGAGGGCTGGGGTGGAGCCACCTTAGATGTTCAGTCAGCCGCTGGGGATGGGAGCAAGTCACTCAGTCCACATACTGGCCAAGCAGGTCCCGCACCCTGTTCCTCCTCCTCTTCCTCCTCATCGTCCTCCACCAGTGTGCTCCCACCATCCTCCTCACCACCCCACACGCCTCCGCCCTCTATGGCCCCTTTGCGAGACACCAGAGAGTCTTCGCCAGACTCTCAGACTGTTGACAGCAGCTGTAAGACCCCAGACCCTTCGTTCCTAGCCGAGGACTGTCCAACTCAGACCAGCCCCACACTCCCGGCGTCCAGTCCGTCCAGCCTGTCCACCCCCCAGGGAGCTAGCCTCAGCATCACCTTGTCTACGCCCACTGCCAAGCCCCCTCCTCCAGATGACGCACCCAAATCCCAGGCCTCACCTCCCTGCTCGTCGTCTTCGACAGGATGCAGTCTCACTTCCCTTTCTCTGCCTCTGTCTTCGTCAGACCCTTCCTCCTCCTCTGTGTCCTCCTCGTCTGCTAGTAAGCCTCCTCCCCCTCCCCCTCCAGCAGCGCCCGCCCTCCCATGGAGTTTGCAGACTGGGGTGGACTGCACAACCGGAGGAGTCCTAGCATGTGAGTTCCCACCAGAGATGTAGAAAAGTTCGCCATGTTCTTATCAAACATTCACACCTTGAAGGGACTGCACTAAAGTTAAAGGTTATTTCTAAGAAATTTACTTGAAAATAACCTAGGGCTGCACAATTAATTGAAATATTATGACATTATATCCAAATTACACAAGCTGGATTTTTTTGGTAAATGTAAAATGTGTGACAAACGGCACTATAAAGTACTGTGCAGCAGAGATGCCCTGGCCCACTAATCTTCTCATACAGAAAACATAAATGTTTTAGTGCAGACCGACTGAAACAGTCATCCAATGCAGGTATCATGGTGTCTATAGTGGTGATGAAGTTAGGGGCAAATTTCAAAGGTTCAGGAAGCGATTACTGTAAATTTGCTCATCTCACAGAAAACGCAATCTGAGCAGAAGATGTTTCACAGAATGGGACTATACAGTTGACAATTAAAGCTGCTCTGATGGATGTGCTGCAGCTCTGGTAGTCTCTTGCTGTATTTGCACAGAGAAGAAATTATCACAATATCTGCCAAAATAAGGGCTGGACGGCCCAAAAAATATTGTGATTATTTTAACAAATATTGTGATATGATTGGCAATTAGTGGATCATTAGTGATCATTTTTGCATCACAATTTTAGGTTTCACTGTTTAAATTGTGAATAAACAAACAAGATTTGTAAGCCAGGGAATCTCTGCAGCAGTACATTATATTCCTGTTTTAACACACATTATCAAAAAACAGTCACTTGGCATATTGCAATTTTGATAATATATAAAGCAAAATAAAAGTCACCAAAACAGGCAGTGCTTGTTGTTTCTACTAACAGACTTAGATTGTTATTTTATGTGTCGGAGCATTATTATATACACAGATGGACCTTTTGTTTAACCAGAAATACCTGTAATGTCGCTCGCCACCAGACTCCATATACAAATTGGTAATTTTAGCTTATATATCATTGTAACATCATAACTTCATTAAAAGTGAACAGAAACAAAATAAAACCCACCAAAACCATCTTTGTTAGTCTTTCCACTGTTTCAACAATCACCAACTGTGGTTTGGTGGAAATAAATCCACAGTTTCAGTCGTTGTACTCAGCTGCACATGAAGCAGACCAGCTATGAAACAAACCACAGAGAGGCACACAGGCAGAGGGAGTGGGACTCAATGACTTCACTATATCTTTACCTCTCTTTTGCAGGAACATCTGGATCACATTAAATACCTTTAAAATAAAATACCATACCTTATTTTACTGACTGCTATTAGTTTTTGTTCATTTGCATTTTGCATTAGTATTGTATAGTTACTGTGGCTGCTTTCACATACTGTATGTTGGCCTTAGGTCTGCTGTAGTGTAAAAGGCTTGAGATATAAGTTATCCCAGCCATTCAAATGAAAGCAAAAACCCTGAATGTTGGCCAGCATTTAGTGCTTATATAGTTTCTATTCGCACTTTCACTGCATTCAATTATTATCATCAGGTGTTGTTCCCACCTAGGGAGGAGTAAATGTTCCCAAAGTTTGACCAAAACACTAAACATGCTTGATGTCAAATCCTATTTTAAAATACTCTTTAAACAAATAGAAATCAAAATAAATAATAATCAGATGTTGCATTGTCATGTATGTTGTGTTATTGTATAACCCTAATGATCTCATTCTTCCTTCTTTCTCAGTGACTGCTCTGCTCTTCAAAATGGAGGAGGCCAATATCGCCAGCAGAGCGAAAGCACAAGAGTTCATTCAAGCAACCAGCCAGGTGACTGTCTCTCTGTCTTAAGCTGTCATTCTCCTTAGTCTTAGTAAAGGAATGTTTTATATATGTTATTAGGAGAAACCTTAACAACAATATTTCTGTAATCTAGCTTTGTCTGTCTGATTCTTTATATTTGAAACATTTTGTTTTGGCGAGTTGCTGATTATTTGTCAAAGTAATTGATTACTTTAAGGAATACTGTGCGAGTTCCATTTTGATGTTTGTATAGAAATGTGTTCTCCACCATTTTTAATATTCAAAATGAATATGCATTAATGCATGGGTTTAAATAAGAAAAATAACCTAATATAATGAGACTCAGTATAGTTAGGTCAAAGTTCCAATTTTTTAAACAAATAAAAGAGAACCTGTGACCACAAAATCAAAGTAACCATCAAACAGCATTTCACGTACCATTGCGCTATATGCACACCAGTAATTCAATCCAAAGGTGGTTAGGGCAGGAATAGAGTCAAAACAGGAAATAGTATTGATAGGGTTGTAAACATATGGTAAATTGTACCCCTTTACCACCTGGTTCGGAACCAGTACCTGATCAAACCTTGTTTGCGTGTGCTAGCACCAAGAACCTTACAACAGGGCCGCAGCAGTCTACAAAATAAATTCTGTCATTTTATCAAATGTTTTACTATCATTAGTACCATCTCTTTTCTGCTACTTTGCTGTGCAGCTACAGAACAAGAATATCAACCGACCCACCCCCTCTCAGGCCTTGAGATTTGGGGGATTTTGAAATGGGTCAGTCTGTGACTGGAAGCAAATGTGTTGCACTTAGAAATGAAGTGTTAGGGGAAAATGAATTCCAGTCTGACTGTGTCCTTACTTTGTCTCTCATGCAGATCCTCTCACAGGCTAATCAGAGCCAGTCACAGCAGCATGCCCCTCCCTCCTCAGCCTCTTCCTCTTCCTCACAGATTCCTCCCCCTCCCGCTCTCCCTCCACCACCGGGTCTGAGCCCAGCCCAGTTCATCCTCCACAGCTCCCTCCCATTAGTCGGCTGCACCAAAACTCCACCCTCTCTCCTGCACCCATCCATAGGTGGTGGATGTGCGCAGACCCCGCCCCCTATCATGCCTGTGGGGCTGTCAGGAGTGACTGGGAGCTCTGGTGACACTGGATGGGACAATGACAGCAAAGACCCTGACAAGGTAAAGTTGACGTTCATGGAGAGATCAGGGCGGTTGCTCTCCTTTCTCTAATATATAATATCCACTACTGCTGCATGGCTGCTGATCAGCATCTACCCAACAGGCCAGTACTCTTTAACTATCTCAGCAAAAATGATTTCAGTCTTCAATGTTATCTTGTTAATTACTTGAAGAGGGCAAAAATATTCATACAGTTTTAAAACATACATCAATAACACAGCATAACTGCCTACAAAGACATGCCTGTCAACCTAACTGTACACTGTAAAGCAACTGGGGATTTCTCTGTATTATTAAAAATTGGTTTAATGACGTTACATTTTTCAGTCTCACTTTAAAATGTGTTTTGGAGAAACATTTGTATTGATCACACTGTACAAAGTAGAATAATTAACCCAACCAATACCAATTTGTACTTCACTACAGTTTCAATGTCTAAATCTGTAGAATATGTTACAGACATGGATATATAATATAACTCAACAGCTCCTGTATCTGTTTCGAATAAAAAGCTCTGTTGCATTTTTGTAGATAGAATCAATTCATATGTTAAATGGTAAATAAACTTGTGTAGCACTTTGTTTGTAAAAGCACTGTAAAGATTAAATCGATTTAGAGTTTGCTTATGCTGTTGTGCTGACATTTATATCACTCATTAGTTGCTTCTCCTATCATTGTTGATGATTGGTTCATACTGTGGGGTGTTGGGCCTGCATTTTAGAACCACTGTATTAATTTAGCATGTCTGTCATTTGAATTTCTCAGTACCTAAAGAAGCTGCACACCCAGGAGCGGGCAGTGGAGGAGGTGAAGCTTGCCATCAAACCATACTATCAGCGCAAAGACATCAACAAGGACGAATACAAAGACATCCTCAGGAAAGCTGTGCACAAGGTCAGCCTCAGCACACGCATAGTATAGAAAAACACTAGTAGTTCACAGTAGTTAAATGTTAGTATATGGAGTTTGCCTAAAGGCACACTATGTAGAATTTTCCTAAAAAACAATGTATATTCATATGAATCATCACTTATGACCCACTGGCAGTGTGTGGCAGTGTCTGTCTGCAGACACCGTGCATCCTCTGTCTGTATTTTCTTATGTTGCTGTGTTCTGGATGTTTCCGGGCATTGGTGTATAGCCCCCAGCCAATAACACGTAGCAGCCAGGTCACATCGCCATCTCCTCTGCTCTCAGAATTTCCTCGTATCCTGGAAAACCTTGAGAACCTGGAAATTTAGAGACTAGTTTTAGGGATACAAGATCATTTTTGGGACAAATAAATTATTGGCCAATAATGGGAAATTTCTATCATTATGAAATATTGGGATAGCATTTGTAGAGTCAGAACTGTTGTTGTTGTTGTTAGCAATAGTTATGTCAGTTAGACTTGGTTAGGTCAGAGCTATGGAATATTAAATCATCCATTTTGCTCACAACATCTTTGCCTTTCATACAGTCATGTGAAACAATTAGGACACCCTATGAAAACATCTGTTTTTTTAACATATTTAGACATGGATATTTAATATCAATTTTAACAATACTGAGAGATTCAAGTTATAAAACTGAACAAGTAAAACTGAAGAAAATACTTTTTAAAACTTTCTGTTAAATTTAATAAAATAAACATGCAATTTCTGAATAAATTAGGACACCCTCCACATTTTTCCCACTTAAAAGTGGCTGAAATCACAAGGTGTATCACATCAGGATGCACATGATTAGAACATTGTTACTCCAGCATTTTTGAAGGAGGCTGCCCTATTTAAACCTCAGACATTCAGTTTGGTGTGCTCCTGCACTGTTGACGTGAGAGTGAACACCATGGGTTGAGATCGAAAGACCTGTCTGAGGCAGTCAGAAGAAGATTGTTGCAGCTTTATGAGTCTGTAAGGGATTTAAAAAGATCTCAGAAAGAGTTGAAACCAGCGCATTCCACTGTCCGGAAAATAGTGTACAAGTGGAGGACATTCAAAACAACTGCCACATGCCCAGGTCTGGCTGTCCGAAGCAAAGTTACCCCGAGAGCCAGACCACAAAGATGCAAAAGAAGTTCTCCAAAACCCCTAAAATGTCATCACCACGGGACCTTACCAGCAGGCGCTTGGCGACTGTTGATGTGAAAGTCATGCCTCTACAACAGAAGAGACTTGTCAAGTTTTCACAGGAGGTGTGCAAGAGGAAACCTTTACTCTCCAAGAGAAACTTAAAGGCCAGACTGGAAGTTGGCCAGAGAGAATGTAGACAAAGAACAGGACTTCTGGATAATGTTCTTTGGACAGCTCACCATCAATAGAATAACATCATGAATTCTACAGTGGTATTCAGAGGTGCTTGAGCAAGCATGTGGAGACCATCCTATAAGAAAATTAAAGCTGAAGCGGAATGGACCGCTGCAAGCATGAAAATGACCCTAAACATACCAGTAAAATCCACCCAAGGACTGCCTGAAAACAAGAAATGGAGATCCCGGAATGGCCCAGTCAAAGCCCAGATCTTATATCCCATTGAGATGCTGTGGGTGACTGAAAACGGCTTACATGCAAAAACCCTCAAACATCACACAGGTTAAAGCATTCTGCATGAGAGGGTCAAACCTTCCTCAAGAACCTGATGTCAGAGGACTGGTAGAGGAGTTTACAAGAGCGTCTCACTGAAGTTATTTCAGCCCAAAGGGGTAACACTAGGTAATTAGGGGGTAGGGTGTCTAACTTTTCCTCAGTTATAAATGCATTACTTTGAATGTCTTTTGTTTATGAGTAAGAAATGGTTATTTTTTGCTGTTTTACTGCAATTAGATCACTTTTCTTTCCCAGAGATAAATAAAAACAAGATTTAGACATCGATATGGTGGAACATTTCTTAATGAAATAACTGAATATTAAGGGTGTCCTAATTTTTCACATGAACTGTACCCTGTGTCAAAAAAACAGTGTTAGAACTAACCAAATTGTGTGGAGGGGTGGCCATGAAATTCACCAGAAAATAACGTTTTTTGATCGATTTACTGCGTTGTTTTCACTAACTGCCCATTGCCCCCTCCTTCATTCACTTAATAGTTTTGCCTCAACCACCCGCTCGCGTCTCATTCGTTCTCTCTCAATTGGCCAGCCAATTTTGAAGGTTACAAACAATAACTGAACAAAATCCTGCATAAAGTTGGGCCCCCCCCCCCTTTTTAAACAAAAAGACAAGTCAATCTGGCTTATAAAGGCAGCACTAGTTGTTCTATTCCTACCACACCTCCTAACCCCATGAACCAAATGTAAACTGAATATCCTTTGCTGCAAGAGGCTGTTTAATCACACTGTCTTTCTTCTCCCCAATCTGCCACAGCCGTAACTGGGGGAAATTCAACCCTGTCAAAGTCAGCAACCTGTAAAGTTGTTACGTTCCAACGCTACAAATACTCCGGAAACACTGGACGCAAATGGTAGGGAAGAAAGGGATGACCGGGAGCCAGGAGCCAACTTGCCTATTCCTCTGCTTAATAAGGAGACTTTTAAATTCGTCCCCCCACAACGCATCTGCTCAAGAACACCCACTTGTTTTTGTCAATATTTTTTTGTTTTCCATAGCCCCACCGTTGTCTATTGCCTTTTAGTGAATCTTATGGAAGTCCTCCTCCCAATTATATCCTTGATCTCCCACTGTAAAATGCTCACATGAAAATGATCATGTATACAAGTTCAGGAAGTGATGCTATCATGCACGTGCTGTGTTATCTAATACAGTCCCCAGTTACACCAAAGCCCTGCCATTGATACTACCTTTGTGGAGCCTTATAGTTTTTGTTGACCCCTGTTCATTTAGAAGCCTTCACTAATAGTGGTAAATTAAAAAAACTTGTCCCCCAAAAAGGGCCCTAAATTTTTTACAATAGGCATTGGATTATTGTTTGTCCTAACCCCATCCTCCAATGTATATCAATAATCCAAGGGCCTAAGGGGAGATGTAATATCGCAGTTGATAACACCCAAA